TAGTACCCGGAGTACATTCCCAAGAAAAAGAACAATGCAGTAAAGGCTCCAAGTTGTGAAAATAATTTATTATGCAAATAAATAAAATTACCAAATCTCAAGTCATGTTTGACAGTCTTCCTTTTAAAATTTATAAATGAGAGTCTTTGCTTATAGGATATAAAATAATTTAAGCAGAAACTGGCTGGAGCTGTTGAGATCTGCTTGGCAATCTGACCGATCCAGATATTTCTTTATGTTATAAATTAATCTTGTTTCTTCTAGGACCCTGATATTATCTTCCCTAGTCTCTGGGTTACTAAAATTCAATTTCTCTTCATAAACTTTGAACCTGATTTTAAGTTCTTTTTGTTCTTTTGATTTTTCAAGTGCCCTTTGAAACTTAGTCATACATTAGCAACATCTTATTTATGATTTTTTTTTTTTTTTGGTAAGGAAGATTGGCCTTGAGCTAACATCTGTTGTCAGTCTTCCTCTTTTTGCTTGAGGAAGATTGTCCCTGAGCTAATATCTGTGCCAATCTTCCTCTATTTTGCATGTGGGACGTCGCCACAGCGTGGCTTGATGAGCAGTGTGTAGGTCTGCACCCAGGTTCTGAACCCACGAACCCTGGACTGCCAAAGTGGAGTGTGCGAACCCAACCACTGCACCACTGGGCCGGCCCCTTATTTATGATTTTTATAAGAAAATTTGTCAAATATGACCTGATGAGTATATTTTAAATAAAGGGAAATGATAAAAATAAGATTTCATAAGTGAAAATCATGATTGCTTAAGGATTGGTAATTTATCTGTCATATAGTATAAAAAGTCCCCTTTTCAGTGAAATTATTTTAGCTTATTTTGGAGTCTGTTTCATTCATTCAACAAATATTTATTGAGTGCCCATCAAATACTGGTGCAATGTGTGCTTGGTGCTGGAGATACAAAGAAATGAGGCAGACATGATTTATGCTGTATGGAGTTTACAACTCCATGGTTATAGGCAACATTCTAATAATTTTATTTATTTATTTTTTCCCCCCAAAGCCCCAGTAGATAGTTGTATGTCATAGCTGCACATCCTTCTAGTTGCCGTATGTGGGACGCGGCCATGCAAGCAGTGCGTCGGTGCGCGCCCGGGATCCGAACCCAGGCAGCCAGCAGCGGAGCGCGAGCACTTAACCGCTAAGCCACGGGGCCGGCCCGGCAACATTCTAAAAGTAAGCAGTTAGGGCCAGCCCCAGTGGCTTCTTTGTTAAGTTCAGCGCACTCCACTTCGGCAGCCTGGGTTTGGTTCCTGGGTGTGGACCTACGCCACTCCTCTGTCAGTGGCCATCCTGTGGTGGCAGCTCACATACAAGAAGAGGAAGATTGGCAGTGGATGTTAGCTCAGGGCAAGTCTTCCTCAGAAAAAAACAAAACAACAACAAACCCTATAAAAAAATAAAAATAAAAGTAACAATTATAAAGTGTGATGAGTGCCTGTGATAAGTATGGGCTTCTTTGAAAAGATAAGTGGGTGGAGGGCTGAGGGTAACATGTTCTAAAAGGCTTCCTTCTGTTTTTGAGACCTAAAAGATGAGTAGGTGAAGAAGCCTGGAAAAATGTTTCAGGCAAAAGGAATGGCACGGGAAGGCTGAGTGAGAGAGGGAGTACATTTGAGAGAGTGAAAGTTTAGTGTGACTGGATTTTGGACTTGGGGGCTTGGAGGGAGGGGTGGTGATGAAAGATGAGGTCAGAGAGGTAAGGAGCAGCCAGAGTCTGAAGGGCATTGTAAACCAATGAGAAGTTTGGGCCCAAAGATCTTAGGAATGTTTTAAGGATGGAGGTCAGAGAGGAAGCAAGAGAGACAAGGTTCCTGAGAAAGTGGTATGTTGAGCATGAGATCCAGAGTGCAGGTGGAAGGATAATTTTGAGGAATGTTTTAAGGATGTTTTGGAATGTTATTTGGAGGAGGGGAAATGGATGGAAAGACTTAATCATATTTTTAGGAAGATCACTGTGGGTCCAGTGTGGAGAACTGATTGGAGGGGATTGAGGCTTGAGGCAGGGGACTGATTGGGAGGCTATTGTAATGACATAGACGGTAGTTGATGGTGGCTTAGACTAGGGTGGTGGCATTGGTAATAGAAGTGGACAGATGAAGGATATTTCCGAGGCAGAATTGATTAGAATTGATAATTGCCAGGAGATGGGGAGGGGGAGAAATAGTGAAGGTTGCTGTGGAGGTTTCTGAGTCAGGCAGTGCAGTGGAAAGCAAGGCTGTTTATTGCAAGAAAGTGAACTGGAGGAGCAGTTTTGGGGGAGAGGGGAGATAGTGATTTTATTTTGGGGGCATGTTTAGTTTGCCTGTATGGACCTGGAGTTCAGGAGAGAGCTAAGGGTTAGGTTTATAGATTTAGGTGTCATCAAAATAGTAAAGACCAGGGGGAATGTATGGAAAAGTGGCTCTTCAAACTTATTTTTCAAGAGGAGAGGAAGAGTTTTGTCAATGTGTTAAACTCTTTCCCAGTAAAAATGTGAGTTCTCTCCCCAGAAAAATACACGTACATGTGACAGGTTACATATAATTCCAAGATTTACAAAGATGGGCATCTGTGCTCCTCAGGTTATAGAGTAAAACAAGAGCACCTAGGGCAAACCCCTGAAGAATCTCAACTTTCGTGAATGAAGCATAGGAAAAAGATCTGGCAAACAAGACTTAGAATGAGTTTTATGCCTGGTATAAAAGCAGGCGAATGTGGTGTTAAACAGAAACCAAAAGAGATAGTTCCAGAGGAGGGAGTAGTCAGTAGTGGCAAATGCCTCTTAAGGGTCAAGAGCAATGAAGAATGTATAGTGTCCACTGAATGGGTTTAATAATTAGGTCCCCAGGGCTTTGGAGAAGCAGTGTAGGGGCAGTGGTGAGAGAGGAGGCCAGATTGCAGTGGTTTGAGCCATTAGTGGGAGGTAAAGAAGTAGAGTCGCAAAGTGTAGACAGTTCTTTAAAGGAGTTTTGTTATGAAGGAGAAGAGGTAGGATGGTGGCAGGAGGCATGGGCGAGACTTGAGTATGTTTAAATGCTGATGAGGCTGTCAGTAGAGGGACTACAGACATGGCCCCTGAGAAAGTGGTGAGTTGAGTATGAGATCCAGAGCACAGGTGGAAGGATAGTGTTAGACCAGAGAGTGGACATCGTAAGTGGAAGGAAGAAAAAGAGGATGAGTAACAAAACAGTAAGTTCGTCAGATTAGTGACAAGAAGTTGGAGGAATTCGCATATATTTTCTGTTTCTCTGATGTAGGGTATGAAATCATTTCACTTTTTAAATCATAGAGTGGTGGTTAACAAATATGATTACATCATCTATAGTGAAGATTATAATTTGGATTTGTGTATGTGTGTTGTATATGTATTGATCCTGAATATTCAGTTTATATGATGATAAAAGTTTAGGGAGGAGTTCTTCTAAATCAAGTTTGTGAATTGGTGTTTTTAGTTATGGCCTTAGTTTTCATGATTGAGTTTTTGTTTTCAAAAACAGAACTGTCTTGAAGACAGGACCCAAGAGACTGACTAGGAAATCAGTATCTTGTGCTTGTTTAATAATTTTTTATTCACTTACCAGTGGCATCTGTCTTCAAAATGATTTTTATTTGAACTTTTAAAGTGATTAGTTTATATTTAGACTTATTCCCAAGGTTTGTTATGTTAAGTGAATTTTTATACACTAAACTTCCAATAATTGTAACTAATTGAATGGACTGTTTAAACTGTGAGTAGAAGTGGATAGAAATTAATGAAACATTACATTCATAGCTATTTTATAAATTAAACTATAAATATATGGAAATTGGTGTTTTTCCTTCACTTGTATCAAATTTGAATTAAAGAGGTTAAGTTTATGTCTCTCTATATAAGCAGTGTTTTTTTTTTTTGGTGAGGAAGATTTGCCCTGAGCTAACATCCATTGCCAATCTTCCTCTTTTTTTGTTTGAGAAAGATTAGCCCTGTGCCAGTCTTCCTCTATTTTGTATGTGTGGTGCCTCCACAGCATGGCTGATGAGTGGAGTAGGTTGGCTCCCAGGATCCAAACCTGTGAACCCAAGCCGCCGAGGTAGAGCACGTGGAAATTTAACCACTCGGCCACAGGGCTGGCCTAGTATTTTTTTTAATTGACATATAATTCACATACTATAAAATTCATCCCTTTAAAGTATGCAACTCAGTGGCTTTAATATATTCACAAGACTGTGCATCCATCACCAGATAAGTAATAATTTAATGCAAAGGAATCCAGAGAATGTGGATTTAGGATATCTAGCTCAATATATCAACTTTTAATTTTGGGAAGATATAGTAGATCTATCTTGTCATTGAACTGATGATTTAGGAGAAAATTTCTCTCTCCTGTAACGTTCCTGTGGAGTTTAGATGGAAAGTAAATAACAGAATGTTATTGTTTTAAGAAAATCTCATCTGGAGCTGGCCCTGTGGCCTAGAGGTTAAGTTTTTCACGCTCTGCTTCGGCGGCCCGGGTTCGGTTCCTGGGCATGGACCTACACCACTTGGTGGTGGCCATGCCGTGGTGGCGACCCACATACAAAATAGAGGAAGATTGGCACAGATGTTAGCTCAGAGTGAATCTTTCTCAGGAAAAAAAAAATCTCATCTATATCAAGAAAGCTTAATCTTATTTATAATCCCTTTCAATATAAAATTATTTCATCCTGAAAATATATATATCAACCTGAATTTACATATTTCCTTCTTAGGACTATTTTTCCCTTGCCACTGAGCTACTCTGAGAATAAATCTTGATGGAAGATAGGAATTGAGTCCTTATTAGGATACCAGATTTATAAACTTTCTTGCCCTCAGCTCTTACTGGTGATCCTTGTTAAAGTTGCAAGCACTGGTTCAGCTGTCTTTTGCTAGTCTTTAGTGGAAGTTTGGGATCATATTTCATACCTTGCCGTAGTTAGTGTTTAATAATTATTTACTGGTGTTTTCAGTGTTTTAAAATGAAACTTTTGATAATGCAGTCTTACCATTTTAATTCCTTCCATGTATTTTTTGTTTCCTTTACAGTACTCTGTGCAAAAAACTTGGTGAAAAAGGATTTTTTCCGTAAGTAAATTAACTTTAAATCTTGTATATTGTGTGTAGATGTTTTCGATAGTATTTTCAGAATTGTCTGGTTTAGGGATTTCTCTATTCAGAAATATACTCAGTGTTGTTTTATGAATGCTTTGGTTTCAGAGCCTTTTGGCATCACATTTTTTTAGAGGATTTTGTGCCCTTTTAGCCTCAGCTGCTTTCCCTTTGTCCACCCTCCCACATGTTTGTGTGAAATATGTGTGTCAGCAGATGTGTGTAATGTATAATGAAGGTGTGCGTACTACTGGATTTCCAAAAAAGATTAGAGATTATTTTGTAAACACTTTTTTTCTTTTCTAACATTTTATAGGAAATTTTACCCATGCATTCAGGATTCCTTGGAAGGTAGAGAAGTCATTGAGCCTACTCGGAATTTCCAGAGTGTAGGAAAGAGATCTCTGCCACAATTGGTCATAGATGTTGTTGTTTGTCAGCCTCCAAAGCAGACAGTTGGTTCCCATATTTGCAGTCTCTTTGCCAATCTGTTGTGAATTTTTTTCTGGCTTTATTTAGGATTAAGTTTTGTGAGGGAGGAGTGGGAAGTACCCCTCACAAGTGTTTAAAGTCTTTACCTTGTAATATTATACTTCACAGTAGCTTAAAATTATTGAGTAAAAATGATAGAAGTTTTAGTAAAAAAAACTCTAAGCCAACAAAATTTTAAATATTTGAAATTAGAAATAGAGAAGAGTCATTCGATTTTTAAATTCAAATCCTACCAACCAGCAAAAACTGGCTATGTGTGCTAATTTAATAAGGCATTGGATAATTTTCGAGGGTTTGATGAAAAGAAATAAGCTCTTAATAGATTTTTAAGTCATACTTAATTCATTCCATTTGAAGTTTTTTTACTTCCAATCTTTCTAGAGTAGAACTGAATTAAAGTTTATAAAATAACATCTTATAAAGCTATATAATTTAAAAAATTTGTGGTATCTGTGCTTATATGGGAAAGCAATTAAATAGGATAATTTGGGATGTAGTTAGGAAGAAAGTTATAAGCAGTCTCCAATTTATGTACCATGTGCCCTCTACCCCACTGCATGCTGCCACCGATTAATGTTATCTTCACAGGCTGTTGCTGAACTACCCACCTCATCCCTGTCGCTCATAACCGATGTGTACTCTAAATTTTTACCCTTCTTAAGGTTGATGTGAGGTAGGATTTATCCTAGTAGGACTGCAAAGTGGCAAATAGGATTGGATAGGCAGGTGACAAGGAGAAAAGGGAGGGAAGTGAGGAAATGCACGCTCTTAAAGCTGCTTCTAGACCCTCTAAGACATCTGCTCTGGTTGTAAAGATAAAATCTTCAGTTTTGTCTCCCAGCCTTCCTTCCCAAATTCTTTTCCTTTCTGCAGAGCCCTAAGACACAGCTTCTCCAATAAAATATCCAGATATCCTTGTCTCAGTTTTCCTAGGAAATTGAGAGGAATCTTATTTTAATTTAATTCTTTGTAAACCTCTGGGAGCCAATTATGATCACTTACATGATGTTTATCTGTCCTTAAGTTGTAGGTGAAAAAAAGAAGAAAATCTTTCTCTTTTTCATTTGTGTGGGCAGTAAAAATTGATAAAAATTCTTAAGTGTTGTGAGCTTGCTTCAGGGATAAGAAAATTAGGGGAAACTGTGTGATTATCTTTAAAACTCAGAATGGAAGAAACATTTGATGGCCCTGGAAAGGGAAACAGGAATGCCAGGTCTGAGGCCTTCAGAAGAGACTCAGCCCGGGATGGAAGTATCCCCCAGGTTCACACTGGTGAAGGTCCTCCTGCTGTGGTTGATTGACATCTGTTGGTGATCTGTTTATTAATTTCAGAGGAAGAATTAAATAATAGTTCCTAAATCTTTTAATTAAATATGAGTGAGAATGTGTGTTTATTGATCAGAGTACAGTTATCATTGATACTGAAATATAGTTAAGTATGCAATTTAAATTGTTGCATGAGAAACGTAAATTTTAATATGAAGCATAGCTATGGGCTGGTGAAAGAGATATATATTTTTTTAACTATAGGAAAAAATACGCAAGAAATACGCTGCCATGTGTTGTCTTTTCTAAGGTTAATTTGTATAATTTGAGATAATACTATTTATTTCAGGGTATCTACCCTTGCTGAGAAAAGTTTTGTTAATTCATTTTTTCAAACTGTTTCAAGTTTATTGGCTTTAAAAATGGGTTACTTCTCCCTTCTTCCAAAATTTTAGCAGGAAAATTTTCAAACATATAGGAATATGTAAAGAATTTTACAGTGAATACCCACCATCTGGATTCTGCCATTAAGTTTATCATATATCTATCCATTTAGTCATTATCTGTGTTTTTTAAAGAATGTTTTCATTAGTGTAAACTTTTTTTCTCTCTTTTATCCAACATTTAAGTAAAATATTTGTGTGTAAGATACTGTGTTAAGGTGTTGTATAGGGGCCAATTTGAAGTTACTCAGAACCAAGATGGTTGGTTGAATGTTTTTGTTCATTCCCCCAATCAAAAATAAAGCTTTATTTTCCCTGGAAAGTAACTTCCTTTTAAGTTGAGATTTTTGTTCCATTATTATTTGCAGCTCATTAAGTGCATTTGTGTAGTAAGTAAGTTTTTGAGCTTCCTATATTTTATATGACTCAGAGATGATGGGGAGAATTGAGAAATTTTTAAAAAACACAGAAAATACTTGAGCCACTTTATATTTACCACTAGAGGTCTCACTAACTTCAGAAAACTTGATAGCTTTTGACCACATTAGAGCAATTTGGCTCTCAAGTTAAATTTTTGTAGAATAATATAATGAGGTAAGTTGAAACCTAGGTATTTTTTGGTTAGGTATAGAGCTTAACAAGAGAAACATAGGAGGATGGGACTCAGACTTTCATAATTAAGGATCTAGAAGCCACAGCTAGTGTTTTTTTGTGGAAAAAGTTGTTTCTCTTAGTCTTTAATTCTTTAACTAGTTAAACAACATCCAAAGGGAAAGCTAGAAATGTGATTGTTGTTTGTTTGTTTTTCTTACAAATATACCTTCATATGTTTATTTGTTTAGATGGTAGAATCAAAGAAACAAGAGTGGATTCCTCCCAAGAGAAAATACTCAATGTTATTGAAGGTAGAGGGAAAAGGATTCTTCCATTAAGCACCTTTGCAAATAGTTAGGTATTATTGAAATAATGTGAATAGCAGTAAACTTCAAGAACAATATAGTTAAATAGATTGATACCCTAATTTACCAAGTTTCTTCTTAAATACTTAACATTCTTAAGTTTTGGTCTTCTCTTATTTATTTGAAGTTGACAGATCTTAGAATCGTAGAATTGGGAAACTGTCTAGGTGATTTCTGTCTGGCCCTGAATCCTGGCAAATTAATATCTTGACTTTAAAAAAAATTAGCATAGTTATCAAAGTGCAAAGCTTCTCCAGGTATCAACACTTACTAACATTTTGTTCTGGTATTTTCAGCTGTCTGTAGAAAAGCTACAGTCTCCCAATATGTCTAACATCTAAATTGTCATTTTTGTCTTTAATATTTTATTTAGTTCCACCTTCTTCTCCTGTTTTTTTTTTTTTTTTTTTTTTAAGTTCAGCCCTGAGCTAACATCCATGCTAATCCTCCTCTTTTTGGTGTAGTTTCACACAGTCCTGTGTCCTGTGTCCTGGCTAGAAAATGTCATCTAGGAGCTTTCTCCTGTTTTTTTTTTTTTTTTTTTTTGGTCAAGAGGACCACTATTTTCATTGTTACTTTGGGCTGAAAACTGTAATGTCCTCTTTGATACTAGTTTATTAATTCATGTTAGATCTTTCAGAGTAACTCTTTTAACTATCATTTCCTTTTCCTTTTTATGTGACTTTCCTAGTTTCAGGGTCTTCTCATTCCTACTATTAATTAGGCTGTTACAACAGCTTCATAGATGGTCTCCATGCCTCTAGTCTTTCCTTCTCCCAGTCCACCCTGAATACCCTTGACAGAAAAATATGACAGTGTATTTACAGCCAAGCTCAGGAACCTAAAATGGCTCCCTATTTTCTACCTCAGTCATTCCAAGCTCTTATTTTTTGACTTTTAAGCCTCTCTTCCTGGATCAGTCTTCTCTCTCCAGTGTTATTTACTTTTACACCTGAGCATAAATACTTTGGTTAAACTCCTCAAAGCCCTTCAAATACTGTCATGCCCTACTTGGTGCTCTTCCTATTTGTCCTTTAAAGCCCCAAGGAGTCCCAAGCCTTTCTTTACTGTTCAAACTCAAACTGTTCTCCTGTGTTTCTGAGCTTACTTGTACTCACTGTTGAACCACATAGTAAACGAGAGGTATAATACAGTATAGTGGATAAAGAACATGAAATTGAGAGCCAGACTGTGTGTGCATGGGTTTAGAATTTGAACTTTAGACCCTGGCTCTGCTACTTACTACTGTGTGACCTTGGGCTAGTTAATTAACCCCTTTGTCCTCAATTTCCTTATCAGTGAAACAGAGATTATAGTAGTGTTTACCCCACAGGGTTATTGTGAAGATTAAGAGATTTAATATATGTAAAGCATTTAGAATAGTGCCTGACATAGTATTACAAGTGTTTTCTTTATAATCAGTACAGTCAAATACTTGGTTATTCTCAGGTTCCCCCCATCCCTCACCCCATGTAGGATATTCTTATCTCCCCAATTAGATAGTAAGCTCTTTTAAGGCAAAGTGTTAGATTTTTTGTTTCAGTTTCTCATTACTCATGGTAATTATTCAGTAAAACTTTTTGGCTAACTTGATTTCTTTGTAGCCCATGTTCCTGTGTGAAAACTTTTCAACAGCTCTTTCTTTAAATGAACTACTAAGGGAGACCTTGGGAAAGCTCTAAGAGAGCCCAGAATGTTTTAAGCATTCACCTTCCTGGGGTCAAAGGGTTGGTAAAGAGCTATAAAAACTTCCACATTATGAGGTAACCTCTAGACTTTGGTAGTTTACACCGAGAATGTTTTGAGACAGAAACAAGAAAAAAATGTAATTTTTGGTATTTAGTGTAGAATTAACTTTAATCTTAGTTTTAAAATGTACCACTTTTCATTTATGGCTTGATGTTAAACTTTTTAAAAAGAGCTAAGGAATGGAATAATCTTTTGTAGCAAGTGGTAGTCTTTATAGAATTAATCTATCTTCCCTGTCAAAATATTCTTTAATTAAAAAACAAATCTTCCCTTTTTTCACAGGACTTCCTGATCCGTTTGCTAAGGTGGTGGTTGATGGATCTGGGCAATGCCATTCTACAGATACTGTGAAGAATACGCTCGATCCAAAGTGGAATCAGCATTATGACCTGTAGGTTTAAATGATTAATTTGAAATGAAACATAGAATCAATATTATTTGATATAGTCTTTGAAAGGAATCACTGAAAATGATCTGAGTCTTATCTGTGGTATAATTTGGGCTTCACAGAGGGGTACAAAACCAGTGGGAAGGTACTTTGGCTTATGGATAGCAGGTTTTGGAGTATGAGGTACCCTTAATAAGCCTATAAAGAACAAAATGAAGCTGGCTCACAGCATAGAGCAGTTCCTCCCTCCCTTTTTTCAATTAAAAAAGGTATTCACTTTAGGCCACTTGTAAGTATAAAAGCAGAAGTCAGGATTGGGATACACTCATAGGCATTCTTTTTGCTTCTCTATGAATGTTTTCTTTCATTCTTTTAAATTTTATTTTATTTTATTATTATTTCTTTTTGTGAGGAGATCAGCCCTGAGCTAACATCCGCCAATCCTCCTCTTTTTTTGCTGAGGAAGACGGCCCTGGACTAACATCTGTGCCCATCTTCCTCCACTTTATATGGGGCGCCGCCACAGCATGGCTTGCCAAGCAGTGCGTTGGTGTGCGCCCGGGATCCGAACCAGCGAACCCCGGGCCGCCGCAGCGGAGCGCGCGCACTTAACCGCTTGCGCCACCGGGCCGGCCCCTTAAATTTTATTTTAATCATGGTAGTATATATACCTTTTTAAAAAGGCGAGTGTACGATAAGGCTTTTAATGGGAAAGTGCAGTTGTCTGCCCCATTCTTATTCTTGATTCGTGTTTCTCATGGTAGCTGTTTTCAATAGCTTTGGCTGTTTATTCTGGTATTTTCTTCTGTTTCTGAATATCATGCTTATTTTATAGCATCTTGATTTTTTTTATGTATTATTTTTAAATATCCTACCATAGAAGATGATTTAGCTTTTACAACTGATAGCCCTCATCCCTACTCCCATAACACCCGCATGCCCTTTCCTTTCTCCTAGCCCTTCTGTAATAGTTATTTGAACATTTTTTGGTTATACTGTTCTTCTGTGTTTACCTTATTATGATCATGCAAATATTTATAACTGAGCCATATTAAATATGGTATGTGCAATGATTACATTTCCTTTCTTGACAATTTTTGTTTTTTCTGAAGTTAATGACTATCTTACTTTGCCATTTGCTTAGTTTCCATCTGTCTCATCAGTTAATTCCCAAACCCTCCTACGGAACTGAACATCTCCTCTGCATGTGTTCAACCACATGAGGTATTCCGTTGGCTTTATTTTCTTCTTGGAGATATCCATCCTGGAGCCTCTGTCCTTTTGCTCCAGACTGGGCTAGTGGTTCTCGAAGACCTGCTGCACAGTGTCCTCAGACTTGCCTTTATCAATATTTTGGGAATTTTCTTTGTCTTTTCTAGGTCCAATGACTTCCTGTTTTTTTGTTTTCTTCCCTGTTTTTGTGAAATCTATCTTCCATTGTCATCTTGAGAAAGTGCAAAGATGGAAAAAATTTTTGAGATCTTGTCTGAAAATATATTTTATCTTTTTACTTGATTGATAGTTTGTCTGAGTATAGACTTCTAGGTGAGACATCACTTTCCCCCAAATTTTGGATACTTTACTCCATTGTCTTCTGGGTTTAGATCAGCACTGTTGAATAGATGTATGTGAGCCACAAATGGGAGCTCATCTGTGATTTTAAGTTTTCTAGTAGCCACATTAAAAAAAAATTAAAAAGGTGAAATTAAGCTTAATAATATATTTTATTTAATTCAGTATATCTAAAATAGTCTCATTTTGACATGTAATCAATATAATTATTGAGTTATGTTTTATATAAGATGAACTATCAGGGCTGTTTCCCCAACTTTGTTTTCCAGCATTCCTCTTTAATTGTAATTTCTACTCTCACATTTTTAACTTCCAACATCATTTTGCTTTCTGAATATCCCTTTTTCATAACTTCCTCTTATTTCTTGGATGCAGTAACTTCTCTGATGAGAGAAGTGAGTATTGTAGTTTCTTCTGTTACCTGTATTGCCTCTGTTTTCTCATAGTTCCTCTTTTTTGTTAGTTCGATTTTGCTGTCTGTCTTTTATATTGAAAATGAGGCACTTAAACTTTGATTGGAAGCTCTGTGCCTATGGGTAGAGCTAATCAGCTTGCTAGGGTAATCAGGTGTGACTGTGATATTTTCCTTGCACAGGCTTCTCCTCTCTCCTGCCTAGGGACTGTATTCTTGGGTACTAGTGTTTTTGGAACTGAATAGTATAAGGATGCTAGGAGGTCTCTCTCTTCACTAGATTAATGTCTCCTTATTACCCCTGTTTTTATTATGGAATTTCACCTCCTCCCTCAGATGTACCTAGTGTCCCTAAGTAGAGAACTTTTCAGAGAATAAACCTTTGATCTCCTGCTAGGATTGGGGATGAACTGGGTGGGAGAAGGGATTGAGGACGTCTTTCCATTCCTTTTAAACTCTTTCCCCAGTCCTTCTGTTTCATCCCCACCATCACTGTCAGAATATCTTGGGCATACAGTTTGGGAATATTTCAGGGGTTTGGTGGCAGTAATAGTCTTGCTTCTTGTCTGTTCCTCCCTACAGACTTAGGTTTCCATTTTCTGCAGGTTGCTAATTCACTTATCACATGCTCTCTAAGCTTCTACCATTTTGTCAACATGTCTTAAGTTACAAACAGTTAATTGTCCTGATACTCAGACTTTCTAAGTCTTTAGACTTCTAAGCTTCACAGTCAGTCTACTTCACTCTTCATCAACCTCAACTTTTCTTCAAAATGTTCCACTTGACTTTACCTACAAAAACTAATCTTAGACCTCCCATCAAAACTTCCATGCCTGGGGCCGGCCTGGTGGCATAGCGGTTAAGTTCACATGCTCCGCTTAGGTGGGCCGGGGTTTGTAGGTTCGGATGCATGCTGGTTTGTATCCTGTGGCGGCATCCCATATAAAGTAGAGGAGGATGGGCACAGATGTTAGCCCAGGGCCAGTCTTCCTCAGCAAAAAGAGGATTGGATGGATGTTAGCTCAGGGCTAATCTTCCTCTCTCACACACACACACACACACACACACACACACAAAGTTCTGTGTCTGACATCTCACCTACTTACTGCTAGACCATTAGCTCCAGAACTACCTTAGAGTACCCAGTTCAGCCTAGACTCTGGTCAGTTATTTGAATTTTCCTTTCTAAACCACGTGTGAACAAATGTCGTATCTTCCCTGCGACATTAAGATACCTGGAGACGACTAGGCATACTGAATGCTTTTGTGTGTGCCCCTCAGTGCTATGGCTCAGTAACTCCGAGTTAATAAGCAAATAAATGGGAACTAAAAAGGTAGGCAATAGAGAAGTGAGACTACCCAGCTTCCCACCACTACCACTTAATGTGTGGTCATCAGCTTGTTGTCTAAATAACCCCTTTTGTATCAGTTTCCATTAATAATAACAGCAATAATGCCTTGAGAAGATTGATATGAAGATTGAGATAATAAGTGCTTAGACTAGTACCTGGCATGTAATTCTCAAATGTTAGATGCTTTTAGTAAATATATTTTAGGTCACAAACTTTTTATTACTTGATTTGACCTTTAAGAATTTTGAAAACACAGCTGTAATAAGCTGTCTATGTAGCTGACTAAGCTTTTGGGTTCTTAGTCAGATTATTTTAAGCCATTTCTTTTAGCTTCAATCAGATTTAATTCAGCCAGAGACCCAACTACAACAGTGAACAAGACTTAGTCCTCCAAGCTTACAGCTAAGCTGTGTATAAAACAAGTAAATAGGAAATTATAAACAGTATGATAAGAATATGGGGAAGTATAGGGTGTTATCGAAATACGTAGAACTTCTTTACATAGATTTAGGAGTTGAGGGGAGCTTCCTAGAAAAAGTGGCATTTATGCTTAGACCTTAAGTAGGAGTTAGAAAAAGGAAAAGGTGGGAAGGCTCTAAGCAAAAGCAGTCTGTCTGAAGACCCAGAGGTGAAAGAGAACATGACTGAAAGCAGTTCAGAGAGGCAGCATTGGAGAGTTTATGTAAGGTAAGGGAGTGTGGAAAAGATGAGCAGAGCCAGCTCATGACTGTCCTCGAAAACCTATTAGTAAGTTTGAATACTCTCCTAAAGGCAATGAGGAGCAATGAAAGCGTTTTGTTTTTAAGATTTTATTTATTTATTTATTTTCCCCCCAAAGCCCCAGTAGATAGTTGTATGTCATAGCTGCACATCCTTCTAGTTGCTGTATGTGGGACGCGGCCTCAGCATGGCCGGAGAAGCGGTGCGTCAGCGCACACCTGGGATCCGAACCTGGGCCGCCAGCAGCAGAGCACGCGCACTCAACCGCCAAGCCACGGGGCCGGCCCAATGAAAGCGTTTTAAGTGCAGAAATGCTATGATTGGATTTATGTCCAAGAATGGACACTCTGGCTATAATGTGAAACATGGTTTAGAGGGAGGCAAGAAAGGCAAGGAGACTGGTTCCAACACTGTGGAGTAATCTAGCAAAGAGAAAATGATGACTTTATGTTAGAAAAGTGGTAATGTGAATGGAGATATGTAGACATTCTAAATAATTTTAATAAGGCCTTAAAACTTAAAAATTTCTTTATCCTTGAAAAAAAAATCATACTGTATACCCTGTGCTCTGTTGGATTTGGCTCATAGGCTGGGGTTTGCTGACCCCTGCCTTGGGCCCCTTGCAAGATCTTTCAGATCTTGTTATTCCTCTGCTCCAGATCCCCCATTGGCTTCCTGTCTTACTTGGAGTAGTAGCCAGAGTTCATACCATGGCTGACAAGGCCCTTTATGATTTGTCGCTTGTATTGGTTAGAGCAGGTTAACTGATATAATAGACAACCCCAGATTTTCAGGTGTATTTTGTATATAAAGTCCATTTGGCAGGGAGACGAGACACTGTCACACAGTCATTCAAATACACAGACTGATGGAACCTCCCATGTTTTTAATGTTTGTTCTCAAGGACTCTCTGGGCCTTGACATCCAGCCTCCTGATAGTATGCTTAAGCCAGTGGTGGGCTGCTCTAAGGTCTGAGGAAATCAATATTTTAGAATACCTGTATATCAGGCTTACCAGCTGGGAAATTGATTTAATATGTTTTTTGGTTTCTTTTTAATGTTTGGTTTGGGGTGATTTAGCCGTTTAATACTTGATTCTGGCTGTAAAATTTTGACATATCATGTAGTAGATACATGCCAAGTCTGTTAGGTCTGTTTGAAAGTTGGTGCATGCATACTAAATGATATTTTAGTCCAGATCTTTTCATTTGCAAGCAACAGAAGTGAAATCCAAATTGTCTTTCTTTTTAAACAGGCAATGTGTTAGCTTGCATAATTAAAAGTACAGGGGTGGGGGCCAGCCCTGTGGCGTAGTGGTTAAGTGCATGCGCTCTGCTTCGGTGACCCGAGGGTTTGCAGGTTCGGATTCCGGGCGCGCACCAACGCTCCTCTTGTCAAGCCATGCTGTGGCGGCGTCCCATATAAAGTAGAGGAAGATGGGCAAGGATGTTAGCCCAGGGCCAATCTTTCTTGGCAAAAAGAGGAGGATTGGCATCAGATGTTAGCTCAGGGCTGATCTTCCTCACACACACACAAAAAAAGTCCAGGGGTGGGCATGCTTTAATTAAGCACAGCTGGATCCAGGGGCTCAAATGTGGCTTCTGTGTTCCTCATTTAAAAGTTTTAGTCCTCACGTTATTAAGGCTTTGTATATACTAGGTAAATTTTTCTGATGTTGCTGCTTTACTGAATGATACTTTAAGGTCAAGGTTGCTGGACCAAAAATTTGACCTTTTAGAGTCAGTGAAATATAATTAGGGTTCTGCTGATATAATTATGTTATTTATTATATTTTTGCATGGATTGACACCATGTTAACAATTGGCTGTGTTAGAGCTTTTACATACTTGCAGGTATATGCACAGACAAGTATAGTAACGCTTTTCCCTGCTCTGCTTGTCTGCAGGCAGTGAAGTGAAATCTGCAAGAGTCCTGCTCGCTCAAGGCCTGCATACAGGAAAGAAGCAGGGGAAAAGCGTTACAAACAGCTTTTGTTCTACAGCATTTTAAAACATAACAGGTATGTCAGATTTTTGGTCTGTCAGCCTTGACAACGCCCCTTGAAAATGAACTAAGTACTCTCTGAGGTAGTAGGTCATGTCAGTGATATGTATTTAAAATGTGATGGTGGTAAAAGTTCTTCTAAGATTTTTGTTCTTGGAAAGAAAGAATCGTTACAAACTCCCGTAGTATTATTAGACACTAGCTACTAAAATAGTTTTTTTACTGATAAAAATTATTACTCAGTCTGAGAGTGGCAGATGTGTTAAAGGTTATATTAAAAATTCTTTTTAGATTTTACTTTTAAGATTTTTGAAAAATCTAAATTCAGTCCTGTGGATTGATTGAACTCAAAACATATTTTGCATGATCTAGCCATACTCGGAAACATATGTGACTTTAGACTGTAAAAACAAAAGAAAACTTTTACACTAACTACTTGTAATTGCCAAGTTACTTAGCCAGTCATTTTGTTTTTTAGGTATATTGGAAAGTCTGATTCAGTTACGATCAGTGTATGGAATCACAAAAAGATCCATAAAAAACAAGGTGCTGGATTTCTTGGTTGTGTTCGTCTTCTTTCCAATGCCATCAACCGCCTCAAAGACACTGGTTGTGAGTAGATACTAGTGCTTTTTAAAATTTAAATATATATAATATATTTATTAATATGTATTTATGTTTTGGGGGGCAAGAAGAGGTCCAAAAACTTAACTTCCTGTGTCCATTTGAAACATTGGTAAAAATTCCTGGTCTAAATTTATTTTGTGGACTTTAAAAAAAGAATGAAACATTTTAAATATGTGAATCCTAGAGCTGAATCAGAGCTGATGCTTAGTTTCCAGTGAATTTATAAGTGTTAAGAAATGATTGATATTCAAAAAAGTGAAAATAAAGGTGTCACAGTAGTATATATGCCTTTTTTTTTTTTTTTATTTCTTAGCATCCTTCTCTGGTTTTGGTGGATTTATGAGATAAAGTGAGTTCTGTTTAGGTGATTAGAGTGTTTAAAGTGTCAGTTAAAGGGGATTGTTAGTGAATAATATATAAAACTGCTGTGAAAAAATTAAAGTTATAGAAAAGTAAGACATTATTTTGAGTGTAAGACAGCTGTATCAACTACTTAGCTATAGCTCAGTTTTTCACCAACATGGGCATTTAGAAGATTAGACCAAGATCAAGACATTAGAAGTGATTTCCATATTGGATTGACAAGGTGATTTAGCATATGTGTAATTCATGGAACCAGGTGACAAAGCATCTTTTTGGGGCTGTTTCCATTGGGACACAGATGGAAATATCTTTTTCAACAGAATTTTTTGTTGTTGTTGTTTCTACAGAATTCTTTTTTTGTTGAGGAAGATTTCTCCTGAGCTAACATCTGTGCCAGTCTTCCTTTATTTTGTGTGTGGGTTGCCCCACAGCATGACTTGACAAGTGGTGTAGGTCTGTACCTGGGATCTGAACCCGCGAACCCAGGCTGCCAAAGTGGAGCACGGGGAACTTGAACCACTCGGCCATGGGGCCGACCCCCGAATTTTTTTTTATATAACATAAAAAATATCGCTGGGGCCGGCCTGGTGGCATAGCGGTTAAGTTTGTGTGCTCTGCTTCAGCGGCCCGGGGTTTGCCGGTTTGGATCCTGGGCACAGACCTATGCATTGCTCATCAAGCCATGCTGAGGTGGTGTCCCACATAGAGCAACTAGAAGGATGTACAACTATGACATACAACTATCTACTGGGGCTTTGGGGAGAAAAAAGGAGGAAGATTGGCAACAGATGTTAGCTCAGGGCCAATCTTCCTCAAAAAAAAAAAAAAATTCCTAGCCATTGTCATGGGATTTTAGCCTGGATGCCTAGGCTAAACAAATTGACGTGGAATCTAGCTAAGGAAATTAATAAATAAAAAATAGAGTATATTTAGCTTTGAATGTTAGATATATTAAGAGATGATCCTTTTTGATACATTAAAAGGATGCCATAGCCCAGATACGTACGTATTGATCTGTTAAAAATTTGAAAAAGGGAGAAAATTGAGCTAAAAGTTCTGAATCAGAAGAATTTAAAGGCACCTGAGAATTTCTTACATTTCTGTATTGCCAAAGTGGCCAAAAGGAGAGAGAAGACGTTGGGATTGGAAAAGGTCTAGCATATAAAAATGAACTGTTTTATTACCCAACCCAGCAGGCATACTGAAAACTTAGAGATCACATGTATGATCTTATTTCTGATTCAGTTTAACCAACATTTAATGAACCTTTAATGTGCTGGGTACCCTTCTAAACCCTGGTGATATGAAGATGAAAAGGGCATGGATCCTGTTGTCTGAGAAGCAAGGGCATAGGCCAGCTGGCAGAGGGAGCAGGACACATTGGAAGGGCTGCACAGGAGAAGAGGAATTGCTCTGTACAAGTCCCCTGTATAGCTGACTTAGTAGTTAGTGTCCATTTATTTGGCAAAGGGAAAAATGTCTGTATTTTTGGTTAGATAACAAGGTGTTATAGTTTTGGGGCGTGGATTTTTCTTTTTGCTGCTTGTGAAGTTTCGTTACATTAATTTATTTGATGTGCAATATATTTATCCAACATTTATTGAGCACCTCATGTAGTATTCTACCAGATTGGAGTGGAGTGCAAAGACTAAGGTAGAGTCTCTTCCTTTTATCAACTCATGATTTATTTAAGTAGACAGGTGGCATACAGCTGTAAAGGAATTTAGTTATAAATGCTACAATCAAAGTAAAACCAGCGTGCTGTGGGTAACATTGTTCCTTACTGGACATTGTAACTGGCCAGGCCAGTGTCATATCTGTTTTATAGATGAGGCATGAGAGAATAAATGAGTTGCCCCTAAAAGAGTTTGTAGCAGAACTGACTGAAACCCATATCTTACAGTTTATGCTTGGCTTCTCCTTAATACTTACTTTACTTGTGTGGGTTTATTTATTTGTTTATTTATTTGAATGGGTTAGATAAAAAATAACAACAATAATGGCAACAACTAACATTTATTGAACACTTATGTCCCAGGTACTGTGCTAAGAGTTTTACATAATTATCTGATTTAATCCTTAGAAAATACGAGGGTAGGTATTGCTGTCATACATGAGAAATTCAAGACTCAGGGATAAATGCTTAAGAACAACAACTGTTAAGTGTTAAGCCAAGACTCAGATTGAAGTGGTCTGAAATCTTCATTAGAGAGAAAGTAACTGCATGTTGGCAATGTACATACCAGTGTCTTATGATTTTTGAAGTCCGAATTTATCAAAACTTTTGTTGAGATACTTACACTAATTATATATGCAGTTAGAGAATTTTAAACATTTGTTTCATCGTTAAAACATGATTAATTCTTTAAATGATAGGCATAATTTCCAATGGATTGTGGAAATTTACTGTCACTTGATAGATGTTAGAATCTCTGATACCAGCTTACTTTTTAATTGCTTTTTTTGTTGATTTGAAATAGATCAGAGGTTGGATCTATGCAAACTTGGGCCAAATGACAATGATACTGTTAGAGGACAGATAGTAGGTAAGTGCGGAATTTAAAGTGTGGAATTTTTACCTCATTTAAATTGACCTAAACTCTAAATGCCTTTAAATCAAAGTACAATAACTATAGCTTCATTATATTGGCATGAATTAAATGTGAGTCTTGTAAAATGTTTTGAACAGTGGAGTCAGGATCCAGGCTAACTTAATTTAAAAAAATAACCTATAAATAATGTCAAAAAATAATAGAGGCTCCTAATGTTGTGAAGAACTATTGATCCTTTAGGGAGGAATTCTTTTTAAGTGTACAGATATAGTAGAGCACTGAGACAGACTTTATAGATGGTATTAAAGTTTTCTGAAAATAATTCTCAAACTGATTTTTGAGTAAGAAGAGAATATGCTATTGAACTCTTTGTTTAATGTTTTATAATTTTAAAATAATCTGTGGTAATTGAAAAAAACAGAATGAGAAATGGTAGGATAGCACTGATTGGAAAAAGAGGAAATTGTTAGCTTACTCATAAGGCACTTAGTGGGCTAATTGGGCTGTCTTGAACTGACCCGGAGGGAAGGGCTTTGTATAAAATCTCTTGAGACTTCTCCTAAGAATTGGTGAATTGAGATTTGATCAAGATACATAGCATGGTAGGACAATGAGGTGGGCTTGCTTGAGACTTCTTAAATTAAAGAAGAAAAATGCAGTTGGACTCTTACCACTTCACTATAGAACAGAATTAAGAATAAGATGATTTCATTATGAACTCAACAGAGAGATTTTAGTTACTGAAGGTACTTGAAGGACTTCATTTTACAAGGCAATGAATTGGGTTCATAGGGAATTGCCAGAGTAGCAACACAACAAAGCCCTGTTGTGGTTATCACAGGAAAATAGCTATGTTATGGCATTGTTGATGATTCCTGTCATTCTTAGATTGAGAAAGGAATAAAAAACATCTCAAGGGGCCGGCCTGGTGGCGTAGCGGTTAAGTCTGTGTGTTCTGCTTTGGTGGCCTGGGGTTCGCAGGTTCGGATCCCAGGCATGGACCTCCGCACTGCTCATCAAGCCATGCTCTGGAGGCATCCCACATACAAAATAGAGGAAGATGGGCACAGATGTTAGCTCGGGGCTAATCTTCCTCAGCAAAAAGAGGAGTATTGGCAATGGATGTTAGCTCAGATCCAGTCTTCCTCACAAAAAAAAAAAAGAAAAAAATCTCAAAAATAAATCTTAGCGTACAAGATTTTTAAATGTAATTGTTCCTACTTTATTTGATTTGGTATGTTATATAATGCTTGCCAACTAATATCTACTAGTAACAAAATAGTTTTATATTAGGTGTAAATTTGCATTTATAAAAATAGCAGACTGGGACAGCCCTGATGGCTTAGTAGTTAAAGTTTGGCGCACTCTGCTTCAGTGGCCTGGGTTCAGTTCCCAGGAGCAGAACCACACCACTTGTCTGTCAGTAGCCATGCTGTCGCAGCGGCTCACATGGAAGAACTAGAAGGACTTACAACTAGAATATACAACTATGTACTGGGGCTTTCGGGAGGAAAAAAAAGAAATCAGAGAAAGAGAGGAAGATTGGCAACAGATGTTAGCTCAGGGCTAATCTTTCCCAGCAAAAAAAAAAAAAATAGACTTTCCTTTGTTAGCTGTGAAAAATATACCTACTGAGGTATACTACGTAAAAAAAAGAATGTTTTACTTTAAAGTGTCTGTGTATTTTTTTTTTTTTTTTGATTTAAAAGTCTTAAGTAAATTTGGTGTTCATAGTAGAGGCAGGCCAGACTCAAACATTATGCCTTTATAATCCTGCAGTTTATAAGAACAGAATGAGTTCTAGTTCTTGCTGAATCAGACCTTTACAAATACTTACAGCATCTTGATATGTAACATCTTTTTGAAAAATGGAGAAAACTACACTAGAACACTAACTTTTAAAAAAATGTATCCCCTTCTAGTATTTTTATATACATATATGTATATATTTTTATGATTTTACTTACAGTAAACATAAAATTTTTGTTTTGCTTTCTTTCACTTACTGTAGCCATTATTAGTGTTTATAATTAATGATTTTTAAAGGATGAATTATATCAATATATCATAAATTAATCAATCATTGAACTTTGTTATTTTTTGCTATTATAATGTTGAAACTTGCAAACATTTTTGTACACTTAGCTTTATCCTTTTTTTGATTGTTACCTTAGAGAAAAATCTCTCAAATTGAGATGATTGATTCAAGGATTACAAACCTATTCCCTTACATTTAAAACTATTATTTAGGGGCCGGCCCCGTGGCTTAGCGGTTGAGTGTGTTCAGATCCCGGGCGCGCACTGACGCACCACTTCTCTGGCCATGCTGAGGCCGCGTCCCGCATACAGCAACTAGAAGGTTGTGCAGCTATGACATACAACTATCTACTGGGGCTTTGGGGGGAAGAATAAATAAATAAAATCTTAAAAAATAAAAATAAAAAAAATAAAACTGTTATTTAGTTCTTTCCATCTCTTCTGAGGTTTTTCTTTTGTTTTTTATTATAAAATCAAATCAAAATATAGACAGAGAACCTAAGGAGCACCCATAACATGGCATCGTCATCACTTTGATGTATACCTTTTCTCTATGTTTTTACAAATGAGATTATACCATGCAGATTAAATAACCTGTTGCCTTAAACATCTTTTTGTTGCCCATAGGTACATTTCTTTTTTTTTTTAATTAATTAATTTATTTTTTTTGTAAGGAAGATCAGCCCTGAGCTAACATCTGCCAGTCCTCCTCTTTTTACTGAGGAAGACTGGCTCTGGGCTAACATCCGTGCTCATCTTCCTCCACTTTATATGGGATGCCGCCACAGCATGGCCTGACAAGCGGTGTGTCAGTGTGCGCCCAGGATCCAAACTGGCGAACCCCGGGCTGCCACAGCACAGCGCACACACCATGGGTACATTTCTATAGCATTTTTAAGGTTGTATGGTAGTCCATGGTGGGCAAATAATTAATTTAACCAATCCCTTATTGTTGGATCTTTAAGTTGTTTCTCATGTTTTAATGTTATGAACAGTGCTCTGATAAACATAGAATTTCTGTGACTCATTTTATATATTGCTAGAATTAGGCCATTTACAAACACAGTCCCACCTAAAAATTGCTTAGGTGTTTTGTAATACAGCATTTTGGAGATGTACATTGAAGCTCATGAAATCCTTAACTTTGAACCTTAATATTATTCTAAACAAAGCTACTGAGAAAATACCTTGTTTCTACTGTGATTGTATTTTGGTAAGCATTTCACTTAGCTTTTCTGTATAACAACTGATTAACACAGTTTTCTAGTATAATTTTCACATAACATTTTGTTTACATTTGCTGAGGAAGTGTGTTACAGTGTTGTCTCCTATAAATGAACTTGCATAAAGGTGTAATATGTTAAACTTTCTGATTTTTCAAAATTTTTACAGAGCTGGAAGATTTCATAATTTTGAGATTTCATAATTTTGAGATCTTTCCTAGAATGAAGGGTCTTAAGATGTCATACTTTGTATTGTAACCTATTAATTCTTTAAGAAGTTGGGTTATAGTCAAGTTTGCCTGTATCTCTTCTGTTTTTTGAGAGAGTTGCCAAAAAATAGAATTAAAGACTACTGGAGCAGCAAGAAGGACTTCAGGCATATCATTTAGCCTAATTTCCTCATTATTCAGATTGGGATTATCTAAACCTCAAGGATGTTAAGTGTTTTGTTCAAGGTCACGGTGCTAGACTAGTTGGTAGAGCCTGATCTAGAGTTCACGGCTCTTTTTTCTAAGTTTATAGTGGTAGTTTAATACTACACTGGATGATGATGTACTGTTTTAACTCATGGAATCCAAGTATTGCCCTCTTGCCAGAATCTAGTGTATTTTTTTTAAAGATGGGTCAAGAATTAAACCCAAATTAATGTGAACTTTTCAAATTTCTCTACGTGAATATACCTTTCATGTGTTATGCCTCTTCTTAAGGGCGGTAGTAGCTTTGCATTGTCCCATTATAATGTTGAAAAAAGGAATTAGACTGTCCTCCATGAACAAGATAAAGTGTAGAAAACCTTAAAATTCTAATATCGCTCCTAAAGGGAAAACTCTCATGGAAAAAGAAATTACAGAATTTAGTAGAAACTAAAGAGTTTATTCTAAAGTATTAAAATAAGCTAAGCCAGATGTCTTTGAAAGATACATATTTTAAATTGTAATAATTCTTTCTAATTCTATGGCTCTTAGAAATGTTTCTGTTGTTTAACAGTTAGTCTTCAGTCCAGAGACCGAATAGGCACAGGAGGACAAGTCGTGGACTGCAGCCGTTTGTTTGATAATGATTTACCAGACGGGTAAGCTGAAGTCGTTAGAGAAATACGTTGGTAATACCCTTGAAAGAGTGAGAAATAAGTTGGTCTTTATTGTATACTTAACTTTAGAAATTTGCTGACCAATTCCAGAACCTAGGGTTTTCCTTGTGCTTGGAAAATTAGTGAGGGGTCTTGTCACAATGGTTTTATAAAATAAGCTATGAATTAAATGTGTTTAAATTTGGTTTTTAAGAGTTTTGACTAGGAGACAAATAAATTTATTGACAAATATAACTCTCCTGTAAATATTATATATTTAAAAGAAAACTTCTTTGATTAAATTATTCAAAACAGGGCATATGGGTGCTGAATTTGAGATATTGCTCTATTAGAGGGATGGGATAGAGAATTTGTGTAATAGTAATTATAATAACATAGTAACATTTATTGAGCATGCATGTGTTATAAGCACTTTAAATAATACATTATGTCATTCAATTCTCGTAACATGTGATCTGGAATTAGACCACCTGGGTTCCAAACTTTACTCTTCTGTTTATGAGCTTTATGAATTTAATCAATTTATTTAACTTCTGTAAGCTTTGGTTTATATTTATTTATAAAAGAGGATAGTGATAATATTACATATGCCATAAATTATTGTGAGGATTAAATGAAATCATTCATGAAAAGCACTTAGACAATGTCTTTGCGTATAGTAAGTGCTTAATAAATAATTAGCTACTATTATTACTACTGCTACTACTATTGTTACCCTCATTCATTTCATACATTAAAAAAACTGTGACTCAGAGAAGTTAAGTAACTTGCCGAAGGCCACATAGTAGGTGGCAAAGCTGGAACACAGATTTAAGCCTTGATTCCGAAGCGCATGTTTTTTATCGCTGCTCTCTATCTTTGTTTGATACTAGTTCTGACACTTTTCTGATTTTATTTTTAACTTTCAAATTTTTTTATTAACTTCAATGAGGTATTATTTACATACAATAAATTATGTCCATTTATTTATTTATTTATTCGTTTGTTTTTGTGAGGAAGATCAGTCCTGAGCTAACATCCATGCCAATCCTCTTTTTATTTTTTTATTTTTTTTTTTTGCTGAGGAAGACTGGCCCTGGGCTAACATCTGTGCCCATCTTCTTCCACTTTATATGGGACGCCGCCACAGCATGGCCTGACAAGCGATGTGTCGGTGCGCAGCTGAGATCCGAACCCGGGCTGCCAGCAGCAGAGCGTGTGCACTTAACTGCTATGCCACACGGCTGGCCCCAAATTATATCCATTTAAAGTGTATAAATTGGTCGAGTTTTGACTTAAATTATTTTTGGCATGAAATTTTACCTCCAAGCTATGGTATTTGCTCATTTTGTTTAAACTGCTAAAAATTGCTATAATTTAAGTCTGTTTATAGATCACTTTAGCTTCTTGATAGATCTGTTAACTTTTATGTATGTGAAGTAGATTATGGTACTTTTGAAGGGGAAGTTTAGGATGTAATAACTAATCAATATTGAGACATTTATAATACTGTAGGACTTATTTTTCTAAAGTTGCTCTATATTTTTGTACTATAATTAGAATCACAGAGGCAAAAAAACCTCTTAGCATCTCTCTTTTCTAAGGCCTCCAAACCTCTGCCAGTGTTTTGGTGGAAATATTAACATTACCACATTTCTATAGTCATTTGTGTATTTTTTTGTTATATGAATTAATAAAATATTGAGGAAGAAGTGGCATTCTTGCTTTTTAAAAAAGTAGTTTGGGTAGGGCTAAATGCTTTTATATACTTTTCTAATTAAATTAAATTTAAAAAATTATGTGTGATTTTTGTTTTTAGTATAGCCTTTTTTCCCCACTAAATTCTGGAGAAATTAATATGATTTAATTGGGCATTGTTGACATTATTGAAAATTCTGAGTTTGGCTGTTGGGAAATATTAGTCACACCTCAGTGTAAATATTTTAGAAGTTTCAGAATTCCAGAAGATATATTGTATGGTCTAAAATAAGTTGAAAGAATTCTGTGTATTGAGATTTAATTTCGTCATTCCTGATTCACAACAGCAGATGTCTTCCTGGCTTGGTTATTATACTAAAAACATTCTGTATCCAGCTTCTTACTAATGCCTCATCTCTCAATATTTTTATTTAAGCTGGGAAGAAAGGCGAACTGCCTCTGGAAGAATCCAGTACCTAAACCACATAACAAGAACTACGCAATGGGAACGCCCAACACGGTAAGAACGTGCAAGTGTCTTCCCATGATCTATGCTGTTCACCCTCCTGAAGTCATCCCTTTCTGTTTATCTATCAGCTTTTTTTGGCTTATACTGCTCTCGATCACTAGATCTTATAGCAAGTGCCATTATTATTTTTAAAAAGTAATTTTCAATAAAGATTGTTTAGCAGGTCATCCTGTTACTGTAGCTTCAGGGCCTGCAATGGTACTCAATAAATATTTATTAAATGAATAAATTGAGAAATCATCTTCTTTCTGGGACTCTTAAAATTATTTTTTGAGTCCATTATTGAATGGCAGTAACAAAATACGTATACAGAATCTCCATTTGATCAGTCAGGTAGGGGGATGATTATATTATATTGCATCCAGTAAGGTCTGTGATTAAGATAAGAACCAGATGCTCTGAGATTATATAGGGGGGCACCTGACTTAGAGTGGGGGGTGAGGGGATGGTAGAACTTGTAAAGAAAACTCTGAAGGAGTGGAATCTCCGAACTAAATCTTGAAGAACGTTGGAATTTAGCCAGGTAAGGGGAAGGTGATGAAGGGTGTTCGAGGTCATGGTAACAGCTATCGTTCAGTTCACCAAATGGTTATATGCCAGGCACTGTGCTCAGCATTTGGGCTATAACAGTGAACAAGGCAGGAAGGCCTTCATGGAGCTTAATGTATAAAGCCATGGAGATGCAAGAAAATTTTTGGAAACTCCAAGGAAGTGCTTTTTAAGTAACTGAAAATGAGTGGGATAAATGGTTGAATTTCCTTTTTTCTTTTTTTTAAAGTAAGAAGAAAGTATGTTTGCCACCTCTACTCAGTGTTTGTTTTGCCCCATTTTTGTTTTGTTTTTTTCGTGAGCAGGACTGCCACCAGGCGTAGAACATCAAATGCTTCTCATTAGTTATACTTACTTTTATTTATTGGAGCTGAATTACTTAACTAAATGAATCACAATTTTTCTATTATGATTCTCAGGTAAAAGCTTAGCTTATGTTGCCATTTTAAAAAAATGCTTGTTTGAGAGTTGCATTTCTAGTGTTAAACTGCCAAGGATTTTATTGAAGTCAAAAGACTCATTTTTATACCTGAGCGTAAATGAATGTATACTTGTGTCAGTGTTTTAGTGAAGTCCATTTCCTTCTAACTCATCTGACTGATAAAATTGACTTTAATTTCAACACTTATAAAGTTGATTGTGTTGTAAATGTTTAAAGATTAACTCTTGATTATCCTCTTATTTTGGATGACCTACAATAGACTGGAAACTTTTTGAAGAGACAGACTATCTTCTTTCCTTTATTCATTCAATAAATTTTTTTTTTTCATTCAATAAATATTTATTGAGCTACTCATATATATGCCAAGCACTGTTGTAAGTGCAGGGGATATATACAATGGAGAACAAACTAGGCAGACTCTCTTCTCTCAAATATTCTAGTGGGGGAGAACAGTCAAAAACAAGGATGCAAATAAGAAAAATATCAGAAATAATTGCTATGCTGAGGAAGTAAGGTAATGTATTATCAAATGCCTGGGTGACTACTTTAGATTCGAAGGTCGGGAAGGACCTCTTAGAGATGACATTTAAGCTTAAGCTATGATGTGAATGACAAAAAGGAACCTGGCCTAGGGAGAAAAGGAGAAAAAAGCATTCTAAGTGGAAGGAAATGCTACTCTCCAGCACTAACGTGGGCAAGTACAAAAAACAAGAAGAATGTCAGTGTGGCAGAAGCAGAGTGGGAGAATGGTGGGAAATAGGTCTGAGAGGTAGGCTGTAGATAAGTGAAGTACAGTGGCCCCCCCGCATCCTCGGGGTATACGTTCCAAGACCCCCAGTGGATGCCTATAACAGCGGATAGTGCCGAACCCGATATATAGTATATTTTTTCCTGTGCATACATACTTGTGATAAAGCTTAATTTATAAGTTAGGCACAGAAAGAGATTAGCAACAGTAACTTCTCTTTGACATATCCAAATTGCCAGCATCACTACTCTTGTGATTTGGGGCCATTGTAAAGTAAAATAAGGGTTACTTGAACACAGGCACTGCAATACCAGACAATGCGATAACCAAGATGGCTAGGGTGACTAGCAGGTGGGTAATGTATACAGCATGGATATGCTGGACAAAGGAATGATTCGTGGGACAGAACGAGTTGGCACAAGATTTCATCATGCTATTCAGAACGCTGTGCAAATTAAAACTTACAAATTGTTTATTTCTGGAATTTTCCATTTAATATTTTCGGACTGCGGTTGACCACGGGTAACAGAAACTGCAGAAAGCAAAATCGTGGATAAGGGAGGACTACTGTAGTGCTTTGTAAGCTAGTGCTAACATCTACAAATATATGTGGATTTCATATAAAATGTAAGATCAATATAAAATGATTAAATACATAATTGACAATCTGCTTATCACTTGTTTCTTTGGTGATTGGAGACTTCAGGCTTTTATTCAGAGTTCTTGAAATCATTATATTTATATTAATCATTACATTTTCTTATAAGTGATTGTTACTGCAGTACATACATTGTCTAGAGAACTCTACTTTTGATATCTGAGTTGAGTAACTTTTTTTCCCTGTTACTTTTCAATAGACCGGCATCTGAATATTCTAGTCCTGGCAGACCTCTTAGCTGCTTTGTTGATGAGAACACTCCAATTAGTGGAACAAATGGTGCAACATGTGGACAGTCTTCAGATCCCAGACTGGCAGAGAGGAGAGTCAGGTCACAACGACATAGAAATTACATGAGCAGGACACATTTACATACTCCTCCAGACCTACCAGAAGGCTATGGTATGACAACTAGCAGAGGGAAAATAAAGTGTGGTGTACTGATTTTAGCTTGCTAAGAAAGCCAGAAAGTCAACTTTTAAAGAAGTTATTAATCTGGGTTTAGGGATTCTGCATGAAAATAAAAGTAAATGTAAAACCTCCCAACTTTGAAAAGTCTTTGAAGTGGTAGAAGACGGCCTAACCAACAATTTGGCCTTGGGCTAGTCATTTCACCTCAGCTTTTTTGCTCTTTTGTAATGAAATAAGATGAATGATACCTCTCCTTATCACAAAGGAATTATGAGGAGCATATGAAACAATTGAGAGTCCTTTGTAAATAGGCACTGTATAAAGGTAAGATGGTATTGTTATTGATAATGGTCATCTCAAGTAAGACTTGCAGTGTAATTTTCTAGACATATGTATTTAGAAATGTCTTAAGCTTATTTCTGATGGTATTTATATGTTGTCTATAATTTTGAGTTATCTGAGTGATTGGGTTATTGTAAATGATTTAGTTCTGTGTTTGTATAAAATTATTATAATCTTATGTAATATCCTAAATTGTAGAATTTCATGTGGAAGATGACATGACTCTTCTCCTACTTGATTACAGAACTTTCTAAATTAATCACAACTTGTGAAGACTCTTGTATATAGTATGAACTCAACTGTTCTCTCCTCTCTTGCTGAAATCTAACCATGTTAGTTACATCCTTGCCCTCTCAAGAGCCTGTGGGCTGATGGTGACACCTAATGACCAACATTGGGAATCGCCTAATCTAACTTGTATTTTATTTTTACTCTAGAATATTTTTAAAACTGTTCCATAAATGCATGATACTAACTTTATTTTTTTTATTTTTGTTTTTTTATGAGGAAGATCAGCCCTGTGCTAACATCTGCCAATCCTCCTCTTTTTTTGCTGAGGAAGACTGGCCCTGGGCTAACCTCCGTGCCTATCTTCCTCTACTTTATATGGGACGCCGCCACAGCATGGCTTGCCAAGTGGTGCGTCGGTGCGCGCCCAGGCTCCGAACCAGCGAACCTCGGGCCGCCGCAGCAGAGCACACTCACTTAACTGCTTGCGCCACGGGCCAGCCCTTCTAACTTTATTTTTAAACGTATTTTAACTATTCAAAAAAAAACAATTTTTCCGTTAACTGTGCTGTGCTGCACAGGTTAACTTATAGCACAGTGATTAGAACATGGGCTTAGAAGACAGACAGACCTGGGTTCCTATCCTGGCTTTGCCACATATTAGTTGTGTGATACTGGGCACGTTATTTAACTTCTCTGAGCCTCAATTTTATCTTCTATAAAATGGGGAAATAATAGTACCAATCATGTAGGTTTGTTTCAAGAAATAAATGATAATTTCATGTGAAGTGCCTGACACCGTGTCCTGCATAGAAAGCACTTAGTAAATTTTAGCTGTTATTTTTAATGTTCAGAACGTGGAATAGAGTATCTCCTGCCGTTTCTCTTTAATTGAGATTATAAGGCAAACTGTTTGAAGTGGGAATGGTTATACTTTTACAATATTTGTGTGATTTGGATTAAAAAAAATTTTTTGTACAACCAAAACATAGGAATAAAGTGGATACCAAGGCTGAAATTATTGCAGCTGTCATCTGTAACCAATTATAAACATTTTTATGTTTATAATTTTTAGAAGTTTAAAGTTTAAGTTGATTAATTTATTATAGGTTTATAAGCAAATTAAATTTATACTAATATATATTAGCAATAGTTTTATCATTTTATATGTGGGAATTTTTCATTAGATTTTGTTTAAAGAAAAGTGAGTTCTGTTGCGTAAAATCATAAATAAAGACTGAAACCACCACTGAAGAAATCCTTTCACAGATTCCTTCTCTTTTCCCTGGCTTCCTCACTCTCTCCCCAAAGACTTGGAGTTAATTTCACCTTTGCTTTTTTCTCCCCAGTATGCACACTTGTTCTTTAGTCCTCCTCTTTCAAACTTGGTTATTTTTCCATCTTTGCCCATTTTTGACTATAGATTCTTTCCCTTGTATTCCATCTCTTTTGCTTTCATTTGAGTCCAAATGTAGTCTTGAGAATACACCTCTCTGAAGAAAAGAAAAAAACATAAGTTTTGATATAAAATTAGGCATAATAAAAAAGCATTACCAACCTGCAAACCCTTGACAGTGGCTGCAAGTCTCCCCAGAATCTCCCCAAAGTTGGCTAGCCTTTTTCTCTGAGCCTTCTTTTGTTCCCTTCAGGCTTCACATTTAAGACAAATAAAAGATCATTTCATCATGTTTGTTTTGTTTAATTATTGGTACTGTGACAATCTTGTTTTCTGTTTTCCATTGCAGCATGTTTAGTATTTGAGCCACATTATAAGTGTAGTTGGCTTTTAGATAGCTGGCCTATGACCCTCATCACCATTTATAAGATTGTTTCCAGGAGAAAGTGTATTCTGAGTTCAGAACAAATGATTTGTAAAGCAATTTTTTGGTAATAAAATAGATTGGTAATTTGGAGCATTTACCTATTAAGATAATATCCTAGTGTCTATATCTGTCTTTGATTTGGACAATCTGAATATGTTTTTATTATTAGTGTTTCTTAATTTTACAGAACAGAGGACCACACAACAAGGCCAGGTGTATTTTTTACATACTCAGACTGGTGTGAGCACGTGGCATGATCCAAGAGTGCCTAGGTAACAATTTGTTCTAAATACTCTTCATACCGTTGAATATCCATTTTACTCAGGATTTCTTTGATTATTTAATCTTTAACTTCTTAAAATAGGTTGTGTAAAAGTTTGGCTCTTTCTGATAGTCATTTCAGTTTGACATTTAGTAGAACGTCTTATCTACTGCTCTGCAATTCCACCCCCGTGTCCTACCCCACAACCAGTCCCTAGTCCCTCTCCCCTCTCCCCCTTAAAAAAATTGGGGCAAAAGGGCCAGCCCGGTGGCCACGTGCTCCTCTTTGGCAGCCTGGGGTTCGCAGGTTCGGATCCTGGGCGTGGACCGACACACCACTCATCAAGCCGTGCTGTGGCGGCATCCCACATACAAAATAGAGGAAGATGGGCACAGGTGTTAGCCCAGGGCCAATCTTCCTCAGCAAAAAAACAGGAAGATTGGCAACAGATGTTAGCTCAGGGCCAATCTTCCTCACCAAAAAAAAAAAGGGGGGGGGCAAAAACATGGGTCTTTTAGGAGTTTGAAAATTGAGCTGGGTAAAAACATACAAACCTTACAAAAACATACATACTCTTTTTTTAAAGGGTAGTAGACTGATATTTTTATTTCTGGTTAGACTTTTTTTGTTTTATTTTTAACCTTATATCAGTGTATTCAGTATTCTTTCTTGTGTTCCTTAAAAGTTTCATTTTAGTGTAGAAAAGAAATAACCTAATTAAATTTTTTTAAAATGCCAAAACTTGTACATTTGAACTGCAGGCATTGTTGAGTGCATTTACTAACCAGCTATCTTCAGCTATCTTTTAACTTTAAGAAGATGGAAGGACATACAAATCAGTTTAGTAATTTCATATAATTTTTGATACATTTTAGTATAAATAAGTTTTTCAAACACTAATTAGCTATTTGGAGTTATTTTCTAATGAACAGCTGCAGAGTGCCAAGTAGTCCAGTTGAAGTTGCAAAAAAAAGAGATGAGTTTTAAATTAAATTCTAAATTAACTTTGTAAACTGCACATATACCTTTGTAAGATGAGGATATTTTATATATTAAGTGCAGCATCCCCCTTCCAAAACAAAAAAAGAGATCTTTTTCTGCCTAAAACTTATATTCAGAGCTCTACTTGTCAAGAATCACATATTTGAATCAAAAATAGATGTGACTAGCTGATCTTGGATTGCTTTGATCTTATTTATAAATAAAACTATTATAATGAAAATGTTTTACTTTGTGATAGAACTTAATTAGAATCTTTTGAGGTGGCAACTAAGAAAATGTGCTATTATTAATTATTGTCTCAAGGTTGCCATTTCTGTGTCTTGATAATATAAGCTGTTAGTTTTGAAAAAGTAATGGAGAGGAAATTTTTATTTTATTAATAAGCTCACCAAAAAAAACCCAAGGGCCTAACTTTTAGAAATAAGAGTTTTGTTATGCAAATTATGAAAAGCGTTTTGGATTCTGTTAAGCAAATTGAAAGTCAATAATGAGCTTTTCTATAAAATAACTTAAAATCATTGGAAGGAGATGTATAGTTTAAAAATGATTTCTTTTTAACTAAATGATTTACGGTAGTGAGAAAGTTGATCTTGAGTTATCTGTTGAAAGAATAGTTCATGTTAGCTGGCATCAGAAGCTGAAATTGAGGGATTTTGTCACCATTGTTGGTAATATTCTTATTCCTAGGGAAACATGTCAGTTTTTCATTAATGAGTAAGGGGTTTCTATAAAGGTTTACGACTATTTCATGTTGAGTATTCAGTAATGACTTTATGAAATAATACTCAGATTTCTTTTGTCCCTATGCTCCAAATTATCTTAAAAATGTATATCATATCTTTTGGAGCATCCTTTAGTAAATATGCCTTTTGTATGGAGGATCTTTTATCAAAGCAGACTATAAATATTTAGGTTCTATTAAAATATCATCACTATTCAATCAAAGACATTTATAAAATTGTGTAACTCAGACACTTTTTTTTTTTTTTTTTTGAGGAAGATCAGCCTGAGCTAACATCCATGCCAGTCCTCCTCTTTTTGCTGAGGAAAACTGGCCCTGAGCTAACATCTGTGCCCATCTTCCTCCACTTTATGTGGGATGCCGCCACAGCATGGCCCGACAAGCGGTGCGTCGGTATGCGCCTGGGATCCAAACCCGGGCCGCCAGCAGCGGAGCGCATGCACTTAACCGCTATGCCATGGGGCCAGCCCCCTAAATATAGGTGTTTTTTTTTTTTTTTTTGTGAGGAAGATCAGCTCTGAGCTAACATCCATGCTACTCCTCCTCTTTTTGCTGAGGAAGACTGGCCCTGAGCTAACATCCGTGCCAATCTTCCTCCACTTTATGCGGGACGCCGCCACAGCATGGCCTGACAGGCGGTGCGTCGGTGTGCGCCTGGGATCCGAACCCACGCCACCAGCAGCGGAGCGCATGCACTTAACTGCTACGCCATGGGGCTGGCCCCCTCAGACACTTTAAAACTAACTGTATTTAAAGATATCCAGTAAACTTAGATTTATCTGAGACGTCTCATTTTATCATGTTTTGCATTTCTCTTTAAAACAATGATTAATGCTTTGTTATGCATTATATTGCATACTGACTGTACTCTTGAAATACAGATCTGCATTACTTTTTATGGCTGCATAGAATTCCATTTTTCTGTAATCATTTCCCAATTGCACATAAAGATTATTTCCAGTTTTCTGCTCTTTTATATCAGTTCTTTAGATCTCGCCCACATATGACTATAGATTTATAAAATTCTAAGTAAAATGATATAAAACCAAATTCTGCATTACGTCAAAAGAATTATTCATTCTTTGATTTCAATAACTGCTTTTCATTTCTAAAAGTTTCATTTAAAAACTTCATCTGTTCATTCTTAATTATCTCTCATTGATAGTTTGTCTTTGTAGTTGTTCTCTTTTATTTATTTTTTTGGTAAGGAAGCTTGGCCCTGAGCTAACATCGGTTGTCAGTCTTCCTCTTTTTGCTGAGGAAGATTAGCCCTGAGCTAACACCTGTGCCCATCTTCCTCCATTTTGTATATGGGATGCTGCCATACCATGGCTTGATGAGCGGTGCATAGGACCGTACCTAGCATCTGAACCTGTGAACTCTGGGCCACTGAAGCAGAGCGCGTGAACTTAACCACTATGCCACGGGGCCGACCCCGTCCTTTTATTTTTTTGTGTTGCATATCATAGCTGTTATCTCTGTGATCTCTGACAGGACTTGGATGTAATCGTGTGGTTTACTGTTTTCACTGAAACTCTGTCATCATGATTTTCCTTTCTGAAGTGTTGGTGATCTCTGATTATGAGTTTGTTTGTTTGATCTTAATTGGTTGGAGTTGTGTGGACCTAAAGTGGGAATTTAGAAAGTTTTCCTGAAATTACTTCATCCTCTCTTTGAGTTCTCTGTTTAGTAGGGAAGTTCCAAATTTCCTTTTCCAACCCTACTGCTGACCTAGGGCTGAGTTTCCCAATTAACAACTACCCTCTGGCAGCCCTACCCCTCTGCCTGCCTGCCACTCAGGTACCAGCTCCAGCTGAATTCACTTTTTTAAAAAACATTTGAGGAAGATTCTTGGAATTTTTTCCTCTGCCTCTTTTGAGACTAGCAGTGTCTCAAATAGTGTGTTCTTTCCAAGTATTAGTTGTTCAGTACCAGAAGAGTCTCTTGGAGTGCCTATGAGCAGAAAGTCAAAATCATTGTTTCAACAAATCTGTGGGTGCTTATATGTGCCCATCATTGTGTTTCATTATGACCAAAAAGAGGTTACTTCAGGAAAACTCTTTTTCTAGTTTAACGTTTAAAACATGATTTTGATGAGATTTGTCATTATAATTATCTGTTATAGTTTGTTTACATTAGACATGCTGCTTTTATTTCATTCTTTAAGGTCCTGTAAATCTTTGTCTGTATATAATAGTGTTTTAAGAATGTGTAATATAATAACAATGGTCTTTGGTCCATTAGAAGTCTTTTTGCTTTTTTTATTGTAGCAGTAAGCCTTAGAGCATTCTTCCTTAGGTGTCTTAAACAGGTTCTTCATTCACTAACTTTACAGATTTCAAAATTCAAAATAGAGCAGTTATCCTTTAAAATATATACTGTGATTATTTTCAGGATCATAATTTCAGTTACATTTCCAGTTTTGCTTTGTTGGAGAGCTTAAAATTAATCATGGAATGAACATTTATTTACACAAATTTTATGGTGTAGTAAAGACAAATAATTGAAGGGGATTTTAGAAAACATTTAATTCTTTATTTTACTGACATTTGTAAAACAATATTTTGTCAGACAAGTATTGAAGTACAGTTTATATTGGCAAATGTTGTGATTGCTTTTATAGTAATCTAAAATCTGTATTACATTAAAGCCCAGGAACGAACTTAACTAAAAATGTAGGCTATGTGATACATTTCTGAACCATTTATGGATTGGGTTTTGAATATGCGAGTTTGTTAAACCATTGGGATTTAAAGATTCCAGCTGAACATCTCAAGTTTCTGAAACAATACGTTTTCTCAGACTTCATGAAATTGTTCTGTGTCATTTACACTTGCTTGGCTCAGCAGGCCCAGCAATGAGGTATTTTTTACTTTATATTTGTTTTTGCAGGGATCTTAGCAACATCAATTGTGAAGAGCTTGGTCCGTTGCCTCCTGGATGGGAGATCCGTAATACGGCAACAGGCAGAGTTTATTTCGTTGACCATAACAACAGAACAACACAGTTCACAGATCCTCGACTCTCTGCTAACTTGCATTTAGTTCTAAAGTAAGTTTTTGAAACAGTACATGGTAAAATGCAGGTTCTGAACAAGAGAAGACTTATAGATGCTTTTTGTAATAAATGTTATAGAGTGTCTACTCTCTTCGATTATAAATTTTTTGTGTGGAACAAAACTTTATATAAGAGTATGACAAGTTTTACTCTGATATGAGTATTTTAATCCCACTGTGTTTAAGTAGGAACCTATCCTGAAATGTTAGGAAAAAGGTATGTATCAGAGATGTACCCTAACACCTGAAGAGACAGGCTGCTTTATGGGGTAGATAGATATTTTTCCTCCCGAGTGCATCAGAAATAGTTCCAGGATAGCTGAATCCATTCCAGAGGATTTTTTTGCTTTTTTCGGTCCTTCATCTTTAGGCGTTCTTTCCCATTTGTAGGACTTAGTCTTTCACACAAGTCTTTATGAATGGGCTTGATGTACCCTGGATTTTTTTTTTTAAATCAGCTTTATTGAAATGTAATTGATGTACAGTAAACTGTGCGTATTTAAAGTGTACAGTTTAAGTTGTGACATATACACCTGTGAAACTCTCACCACACTGAAGATAGTGAATATACCCATCATTCCCAAAAGGTTCCTCATGCCTCTTCATAATTCCTCCTCCTGTCCCTTCCCGTAGTGCTTCCACCTATATTAGTTTCCTAGGGCTGCCGTAACAAAATGTCACACACTGGGTGGTTTAAAACACCAGAAGTTCATTCTCTGACGGTTCTGGAGGCTAGGAGTTCAGAATCAAGTTGTCACCAGGGTTGCTTCCTTCTGGAGGCTCTGAAGGAGAACCTGTTCTATGCCTCTCTCATAGCTTCTGGTGGTTGCTGGAAACCTTGCTGTTCCTTGGCTTATAGACACATCATCCCAATCTTTGTCTTTGTCTTCACATGGCCTTCTATGATGTTTCTACCCACAAAACTTCTGACACCAAAATGTGGGTTTTTTCCCTCAAAGCTACTAATTCTCCATGTCTTCAGACACCAACTGGGTGTACAATGATTGAGTTCCGTTTTTTTTGTTTCCAATTTTTTTATATATCTATATTTTTTATTGTGAAATTTTTGTTGTACATTATTGTTTATCAGTCACCATATAAGTGCATCCCTCCACCCCTTGTGCCCACCCCCCC